CTCCATGGAGAATGCCTGGAATGTCCCACAATATGGCATTAAACTTATCTAACTCCACAGACAAGCATATGACACCTCTGGACTAAGTTCTGGATCTTAGGATCTGTGGAAAGTCGATTGAATGCTTTTCTGTCACATGATTATTTTTTTCCCTGTCATGGAGGCCATTTTGAAGACTACTGACCATTAAGAAGATGGAACTGTAATATAATTAATTTCCATGGCATCTGTTCTCATTCTAAACCACTTGCATTGACAGGTAATCACGGGGAAAGAAGCCTTCAGTAGCATCCAAACTTCAACCCAGTTTGAAACTTTTTCAGGCCAAGATGCCTTTCTGTATACACTCTCATGCTCTATTAACTGAGCTAAACCACCAGGATACAATTTTACTTGTTTTTGCGCAATGAGCCCACACAGCGTTACTCAACCTCTCTTATAAGAAGTCCCACCTGCTGAGGCCCAGTGCACACGGATGAGCACTCACTGAAGTTTCTGCAGTTTATCACGTCTTTGAGTGCCGCTGACAGATGAATATTAAGGAGCTGACAGCACAGTGGTGAAGGCAGCTTGGAGGAATCGGGTCCTAATTTAGCGTGGTCCTCTCTTAGTCTGGATCTGGGCCTGGTATCTCCTCTGACAGTGAAAAACATATCAGGGCTTATGTGTCTGTGTACGGAGCATGTTCTGTGCAGCACTATCAGCGTGAAACAAAAGGCAGGCTTTGTCTTGTGTGACTTGCAAAAACTTCAGGGAATTTTGAGTGAGATGCACCAGTTGCTACATACTTCAAATGTGACATGTTTTCCCCACATATTTTCTAACTGACTGGATGGATATTGAAAACAGCCCAGTGCACAGAACTGATTAAGTCACGCTGTTCACAAAATACACTGCATTCAAACTGTTTTTCATAACACTATATCTTGTAATCATTTCTGTGTATGTATCCAATTCAAATTTGTTCAAAACAAATATTGATTTTATTTTCTTAGGTTTATGGAGCATCATAATATGTGCACAAGCATACGTGTAATTACAAACAAATAAATGCAATTAAATAAATGTAACTAACTAACTAAATAAAATTAAATAAGAATGTGGAATGTTCTTCACATTTTGTGTTGCTAGATCATTACTCACAGTAAGTTTACAGTAAGCAAAACCTGTATTTGTGTTCTCAATATTTAACATTTTGTAGCAATGACCTCGGCTTGCCTTTATTTTAATTATACCCTATGAGTTTAAATACCAGATACTTGTGAAGTATGCAGACCTCTACAGTGCATGGTCTTTTGTGTTTTGTTGTTTGTGTTTACTTGGAAGAATGTGACATGAGATCAGCTGCATTTCTGAAGGTCTGGCGAGGTGCCAGAGAGGGATGCTGACAGGCGGACGGCCTCTGATACTATCAGCACCTTACAATCTGCGTGCGCATACCACAACATATCGGACATGCTTGTGTTAGTGTGGTGTGTGCTTTATCAGTCCAAGATAGCAGGGCTAATCAAACAGGTTGGGACTAGCTGTGCCACAAGAGGAGTTAACTGGAGGTATTCATCAAACTGGTTTTCAAAACAACACATGAGCAGGGTGCTGTTGAAATTTAACTTTAGTCACCAGGAGTCTTGGGCAAACACGAAAAGTCAATAACGTATAGTACTTCGGTCCTTTGTCTGCTATTGGCTTAGTCAATGTAAAATCATAAAAAGAACTTGTCGTTTACAAGTGTTGACTTTTGCTCACTTCCTTTTCCCATTTGAACCATCCCACTGTGTTGTCCACATCCAGGTGTGACATCTTCAAAGTCAAGGCACAAGGATATGTGTAAACAGATTTACAGACTTTAACTGTAAAGATACTGGATCCCATATACAATGTCATGTAGGCCAATAGTAGTGAGAGCTATAATAGTCAATTCACATGAACATGACACCGACAAACAGTCATAAAAATGGCATCCTGCCCTTATAGTCTCAGTAGCTTTTACACTGTAGCCATAGACTTTAAAGCAAGTTGCTCTGTGTAGGTGACAGAAAGACTGGCAATAAATGTAATGGCTCCCTCCCCTCAATAAAATACTACAACAAGTCTTTTCTTTAGCTTCTTAAAACTCCATTTGTTTCAGCCTTTGAAAGAGGAATACCACACGTACACCCAACTAAACTAATCTGGGAATTCAACCAGTCACTTCCATGTTACAAAGTTATTCTGAAAAATTACTACACAAGCAAAGGATTAACTATTTCCCGCTAACTGTCACTCATTTGTTGTCTAACTCCTGCCTGGTTGAAACAGGTGAAGAGTTTGAAGGAAACCGCGCTAGCTTGAAGCTTTGGTAACAGTGGAAAAAACAAACATATGGCTGCCAGTAATCAGGCAACTGGAACAACAAGTACAGCAGATCTGTCCCTCTGGGAAATGAAAGGCTCTCAGTGTGTTCCAGGTACTCATTACCAACTTACACTAATCACCCTAATACTGCTGAATCTGGGTTTGGGACCAATGGCATTTAACAAAGAAGTGAAAAGGCTACTATTGTGCTGAGGAAAAATGAGCTAGATTGGCATTACACTAGTGCCTGTGTATTGTCATGATTGTGTTTGTGATTGTACGCCAAGCCCATTCTTAGGATATGCTGTTGATTCGTCTGGAATGTTCCACAGTGTGGCATTACACTTAAAGTGCCCACATTGCACTGTTTTCTGATATGTGTTATAATGTTGTTTGCTCATCAAAAACATACCTGGAGTTGTGTCTTGTTTCATTCACACATGTTTAACACACAAATCCTTCATATTTAGGCTGAGTTCTTCTCCCACATAGAAAGAAAACACTCTGTTCCACCTTGTGATGTCATGTGGTAATACAGGAAGTGCTCTACTCTGTTTTTAAAATCCATACATGTTCACTATAATCATTTGCATGATTACAGAATTGCCAATCTCTGTTGAACAAACGGCAAAAGGGAGCTGTTAACTTGAGAACTACCACTTCATGACATCACAATGGGAAACAGAGCATTCTGAGCTTTTGAGATAGACAGATTAATAATGAATGAGCACTCAAACATGTGTGAATGAGACAAAACACAACTCCAGGTATGTTTTTGAGGTGGTAACAACATTTTAACATGGCTTAAACCTCACAAGAGTCAATTTTGTGTAATGTAGGACCTTTAACTATCTCCATGAGAAGGAGGTTACATCTACAGGCTAAGTTACATGTTAGATCTGTGTAGAGGTGACCCCGCTCGCAGTTACAATGCATGTTTTCAAGCTATTTCTGTGCATCAAAAACACCAAAATGCTAGATAATGTAATAGATAGATAACATACTGTGGAATATTCCAAACAAAAGCATCCAAACTGAGACATACAGAAAGTTACATAGTGCAGATTTTAATAGTAAAACAGGGGTGAAACTCTATTGTTGTTGACAAGCTACTATTACGCCAAAACTAAAGATTAAACAGTATTATTCATGGTTGTGATTGTTTTAAAAGTGCAGTTTTCTGTCATTTCTCAACATTATAGTGAAAACAGGGTTGACATATTGCTATAGGTGTTGACAGTGTGTGCAGTGTGATGGATCTTGGCTTCGTCATGCCTGGACACGTTTTGTGGCTCTTTTTGTTGTACTGGAGTAACCGGGATGACGTTCGCTACAACAGGCACTCAAAGGAGACGTAAATGTAGATTACACAAACTATACTACTACTACGATATATTGCCCAGTGGTAAAATCTGATTTGGAAGTTTGGAAAATGTATTACGTCTTGATCAGAAATGTGAATTTTTTTGGGGGCCTTTAGTGGCAAGCTGCCCACCATGGGACAATTACACTCCCTGCCAAGTCTCAGATCCAGAAAAAAAAACAGCCTTGAAAATCCATATCCCCAGAAAGTGGAGAGGAAAAGTAGCAGTTACACACAGCTCTGGTTTTCCTTGTCGAACGAGTTTCCAATCCAAAGCCAAGCACGATCTGCACTTAAAACACCAGGTTTCATAATAATGCCTCCCAGGATCATGAGCCTGTTTACAGATGCATGCTGTAGTAACGGACCCTGTGCCGAACAAGTCCCTACAGCTTTCATTCAAAAAAACAAGCATCAGGTCAACTTGTAAAGAGATGGTACGTTGACATTTGATTGCACAATGTCACTTAAAGCATGGGAGACAAACAATATTTAGTTTCACAAGCTGTCACTGTCATTTATATACTGTAACCTCTTTAAAGGGTTATGTTTGCGACCTAATTTTAGCTGACAGACTACAAATTAGCATACTTCTTAGCTATCATATGGTAGGCCCTGGCAAAATAGACACAAATAAAATAATAAAGTTAAAGGGCAAACGTTTTACTCAATACTTCCAAGCATCTTTTGCAAAACAGGTGTACTTTTATTTGAATCATAAATTTGATGTGAGACTTGTTTGAAAACAATCTCTTGCTATTTTTTTATTTTAATTTTTTTTACTTCTTTTGAATTTATTATTACAGTTTATATTTTTGGTCATTTATTGTGATGTCGTGTGTGAACTACTGTGTCAAAATAATTTCTCTCTAAGTGAGGCTAAGTCTAATAAAAATATAAATTCCTAGTAATTGTTTGGGATGAGTGTTTACAAGTCTACATATGGAAGTAAAAAGTAAAGCTGCTAAAAAGTTACAAAAAAATGTAAAAACTGGGAACTTTTGAAAGCTATATGTGCCCTGAATTCGATATATGCATTTGGTTTATTACATTATTACATTAAAAAAAATATTATTTAGACAAGCCATCAAAGTAAACCAAATATAGCCTTAGACATTGATGGACTCAGTTAAGTAGCTCTGACCCGACAGAAGTAGCCTGAGCAAATAACAGCAGAAACAACACTTTCCTCCACAGCTGTTATTGCGCACTGGCCCTTGTTTGTCAAGTGGACTTTTTCTAGACCTCGCGAGTCTGATTTGTCTGAGCTCTAGACGGGCCCCTGAACGCAGCAGTGTTCACTTTAGGGAACGGTGAGTGACGTGCGCACAACGAGCTGCGGGGACGGAGCTCAAGTCTCTTCGCGTTTACTCTCGCTGTTTGTCAAAGTCTTACGAAGGGTCAAGGAGAAGAAGCACTTTTCCGTTTGCTACTACCGAAAAGAGAAGAATATTTTACTCGTGCTGGACTGGTTTAAGTTTAAATTTGAACGATATGAGGCTGGCGAAACGGCGTTGGCGGACTTACACATAGTTTGAATTGCGGAGAGGCGAAGCGAAGTGAGCCGCTGGATCAACATGCTCACCCCGCTACTGCTCTCCCTTCTGCCTCTTCTCTTTCTCTGTCGGAATTCGTTTTGCCAATACTCAAGCGACCAGTGCAGTTGGAAAGGAAGGTAAGTGTCTGTCTGTAAGCTTTATTAAAACTGCGTAGTTTTGTTAAAACGTGAATTTCAGTGTGCGTAATTCGTGCGTCTTGGGGACAAGGAGAAAGTGAGACTTTGGCGACTTGGTCTGATCTGGGGCGATGTAGCGGGCATTTATTTAAACACTTCGTAAAAAAGGTAGTGTGTAGTAAGAAGCTCAAAAGATAGAAAAAGAAAGATTAGATATTTCAATTTACATTAATTTGTGATGATTGTAGTGAAGTGGAGGTGGAAATGCCAATATGTGAAGATGCGATGGGGGCTTGTTGTTCAGTCTAATTTGCCGGTGTTTAAAAATCCAAATTCTTTTTTTTTTTTTCATTTATTTATTTATTTTTTTATTTTTTTTACACTATGATCAGTGCCCATTAGTCACATTATAGATTTACTGTTTTTTGTTTTGTTTGTTTTTTCTATTAGAGATAATGCTTTATGATTTCTCAACATATTTCAGTTATTAAGTACTTATTACATGTACCCATCTTCAATATAATATGTGGAAATATCTAGTTCAAAAGAAGTTAACAGAAGAACTTTTGTTCAACCTACAATGAGGAAATAACTTGAAACTCCTTTTTCCTCATAACACAAGACTACTGTATTGTACTGGGTGTTTGGTTTCTTAATGTTGTCAAGTATATTTCACCAAGAATGCAATACATAGTTGCCCTTGTTTATTATCCAATATCCAGAGTGACCCTTTGGACAATCTTGGCTCTCTTCAGACATCTGCTGCAGTGTGTTTTGCACTTGAGAGGCAGTGTGGTTTGGTTTGCTCCAGTCAGGAGGGGCGGGCAGCATTCAATACTTTTGAGTCTCTACCAAATAATCTGTTGTTGATTAGGATGGCTCTTGGCTAATCTCATTTAATTGCCTGCAGAGATGATGAAGTTGGGAGGACTTAATTAGAGAGAGCCTGGTTATGGAGCTTCAGATACAGATGCTCCACATGTGCAGTGGGTTACTTCAGATCTTTGACTGATTTGAATTTTAGCATCTCTGGAAACTGGGCGTCCCCACCCCACTCAGAGCCCAACCACTGGCTTGGCCTGTGCACACTGGTAGAGTCCTGATGGCTTCCTGCCGCTGGTTTTGCCACAAAGTGAGTGACAGGCTTGAGTTTTCAAACCCTGACCAGGCATTAACTTGTGGATGGAGTCAGTTGGTCTTGCTGGCGCCACAGTCCGGAGTGCTGCCCGGACAAGTCTCTTCCAGTCTTTTTGGTGGCTTGAAAGCGAGGGGAGGTTCAGTGCGTGACCTGCATTTGCACTTGCATGCAGCCGCCCCAGCTACTGTTGCTGCTGTTGTCTGCCCAGAGCCTGATGTCCATTCATCGTGCTCTGCCTCCAGTCTCCCAAAGGCTCCGTGCCAACAGTCGTTTGGCTGCAGCAGGAACAATGTGCCTTGGGGAGCGAGCGCGGGAGCTGAGGTCACTCTGGCCGCTGCGGCTCGTGACTGGTCATGCAGCCAGTCTTGTGCACAGGCAGGGCTTAATGCTCTGCCAGGAATGTGCTCAGTGTCCTTACTGTTTGCACCTTGAGCTGTTCTGGGATGGAAACTGACTGGAAAACTGATCAACTGTATCATACTGTCAGAGGCTTTTTGTACCTGGCCATGTGTGGCTTCTTCCCTCTAGAATATATACATGCTAAGGGATATCCCTTTAAAGCTTAGGGATACAATTATATGGATTGAAATAGTGTATGAAACATGACAAATAAGCCTCACAACACTGATGTGCAGTGTTCCATCCATTCCTTCCTTGATTTATAATAATAATGGACAGCAATAGGTAATTATGTTTTTTTGATAAATGGTGAATGTGACTTTAATTATGGCCCAAATGATTGAGGTGATACGCATCACAGAGCAGTGCTTCTTTGTTTTAATCTTACATTAGAGTCACCCATAATTTTTAAAATGACAAATGACAAAGTGACAAAAGAAGCATGCCATGAGTCAAACCACATCATAAAACCATATGCTGATTTTAAAAGCTGATTATTATAGAGATTACGTGTTTGCCTATACTGCATTTATACCCATAGTTAGATTGTTTCTCTCTTTATTTTTCCAGTGGTCTGACGCATGAGGGTCACACGCGCGATGTGGAGCAGGTGTACTTGCGCTGCTCACAGGGCTCTCTGGAGTGGCTCTATCCCACTGGGGCTATCATCGTCAACCTCAGGCCCAACACAGTGTCTCCAGCTGTGGCCAAACTCTCAGTCTGTATCAAACCCTCTCCCGAATCCAGCGGCGCAAACATCTACCTGGATCGGGTCGGAAAACTGCGCCTGTTACTGCAAGAACAGGACCAAGCGCAAGGCAAAGTCCACTGTTTCAATATCCAGGAGGGGGCGCTGTTCATCGAAGCTGTCCCACACATGGACATCAGCCGCCGGGCTACATCGTTTCAGTATGAGCTGGTCAATGACAGACTGGGAGCAGATGCACATTCACTCAATGGTAAGACATAACATCATTTTTATTATTAGAAGTGTGTGTGAATGTACTTTTTTAGGGATTTTTGTCCATGTAATGAGGTATCCAAGAGTGGGGCCTCTAATTTTCGGGTACTTCCCTTGATGACAGGGAAGTTGGATATGTGCAGTCAAAGCCATACACTCCTCTGTCAGTCACAATCTATCAAACACTAGTGCAATATTAATTCCTAAATCAAAATGAGAAATTGAGTGGTCAAAGTCTTATTCTGTATGAAACAGATTCTTGTATTTGTTTAGAAGTTCATATTTAAATTTCTTCTCAAGTTTTTTACTTCTAGTTATGATTTTTGTACTGAATCTTGATTTAAAAACATACATTACAAATACAGTTGTCATTGCAATCATTTCAACATTTCACAATTTTTCCAACATAATTCAGTCCTGCTACCCACACCTGGGCGGCAGTAGCTCAGTTGGTAGAGCATTCGCCCACTGATCTGTAGGTTGGCGGTTTGAATCCAGCTCTCAACATAAACATCACAGGTTGAGCGGTCAGATCCACTGACCCACAGGTTGGCTGGTGTGATTCCAGCTCCCACAGATGAATGCTGCCGTTGTGTCCTTGGGCAAGACACTTAACCCACCTTGCCCACAGTGTCTGCGTGCACTGGTGTATGAATGTGTGTGTGAATGGGTGAGTGGTTCCTTGTTGTAAAGCCCTTTGAGTGCCTTGAAGGTGGAAAAGCGCTATAGAAAAATGTGACCATTTACCATTTACCATTTACCTATATCATGTATGCATTTTAACCTGGGATTACATTTATGAATGGCTCCGCATTAGTCCAGAAAAACAAAGCCTTGAAAGTGTATCTTAAATCTCATGGAAAAATGTGTAAATCCATCCTGAAAGAATGAACCCACCCACTTTTTCATCTTTTTCCCCCTTTGATGGTGTGCGTGGAGGGACCGGGCCGAACAGCAGGCCTCTTCTGAAAAACCGTTGTCTGTTTTCACGCTGTGTACCTGCCAAACCTGCGCTGGGTCAAGCTGCGAGACTGCGCTTAGCAACTGTTTTTGTTTCCACCACCATCATCGGGCCCACATGTGTTTTTACAAGTCTCTGGCTCTGTATATTCATATCCTGCATCGTTATGTGCCAGACCAGGGGGAAGATTAATTATAGAGGCCCATATATTTGGATCACCACATAAGTGCGCCTCTCTCTAGCGCTGCGATATGCTCTTAGATAACACTGGATGATTCACAAACTTGGACTTGACGATTCATTGCTTCTTTAATCTGTCTTTCTCTTTGGTCCCTATTTTTCCACTGTGCTGCTTGGATCAAGTTGCTCACCATCACACTGGAATGTATGTCCATCCAGATGTTGGGAGGGTCTTTTTTGAAAGCCCAGCCCCTCCCCTTCGCTTAAATTATCCTCTATTCTTCCCTCGCAATATTTCCTACCTCTTAATTACTCTCTTGTCTATTTATCATCATGGTGTTTTCTTTCCCATTCCTCTGGTACTCCATATATCTTTTCCGGGCTCTTTGCAGCTGTTTGAAGTGGTATTAGCGAGTTGCTGCTCCATTTCGGGGGAATGTGCCGTGGTCCAGATGTTGCAGGGACACTCTCTCACTGCCCCTCCCTTTGCTTGCCTCTTGGAGCCTGTGTGATGTGGTCGGATCAGAGCGGGTGCAGCGTGTGCCGAGGCCAAACCAAGATGCTGAGTCGGCTCTTGTTCCATTCCTGCGGTTCTGTTTCATGTCTGTCATTCGAACCAAGAAGAAAAAAAAAACATCAACTTTTTAGGTCCTGGTTTGCCTGGGCTATGGCAGCATGTAGGCGCACTTCAAAGGGGGGGAATGGGGTGAGGTTAGTCTCTCTGAAGTCTCCCATTTCTCCAGCTGTTCTTAAGCTCAGGCGGCTTATGGCTGTTTGACCCCTGACCTCTGGGGTAAGGCAGAGGCGCGAGGTGCTAGCTAGCTCGGACTGGCCAGCGACACACTCACCCCTCACCCCCAGAGCCTGGACTTCAAACGGGACAGCTAAAAATAAGACCTCAGCATATCTTCTTTAGCGCGAAAATCATTACTTCAAAAATCCCATGACACCACTGCCCTTTTCATTTGACTTCAATACCGTATTTAAGCTGCTTAGAAATCTATGGACTGTAGTCTTTGGATTTGACAAGTATTCCTGGCAAGGTGTGAAACATGCTTAAAACAAATGGTGCTTTCAATTACAGTGTTTTAACAGTAATATTTGTCGGCCCTCAGCAAATGATTTGGTTTGGTATGAACTCAGAAGATGGGTTATAGTAGGGCTGGATGATAAAAAAAAAATAATAATAATAATATTGGGAATTTTGTGATTAGATAAACGATTCATGTTTTAAGAGTAGGATTCTCTTCAAGAACACAATTTAAATCCACCCAGGATTAACATTTGATCACAAACTGTTTAACTTACGCAAGAATCAGGGTTAGCAGGTTTTATACATAAGACAGGATTTTTTGCTTTCTGCAGTGGAAATAAATAACAACATGGGCTACAATTTGTCAGCTGGGATTAATGTTGCTTCTGTTTTATCTTAAACCCTTTTTCATCGTGCATTGTATGAACACGTTTGAACATCCACCTGTGCTCTTCTCTTTGCTGACTCGGTGTGCCCTCGTGCCACTCAGCTGCACGACAGAATGTTCAGGAAGCTGTAATAAAGCCGTCATAGTTAGTGAGCTCTTAAGGCCACCTGAGTCAACTAATCATAGGCTGGGCTGCTCTCATTTAGAGCCCTTTCTCCAGTCGTAAAACACCGGACAACTGGGCAGTCCTGACAGCCCGTCCACATAAGTGCAACGTGCCCCAGAGCAAAGTTACTTTAGTTTAGTTTGAAAATGACTAGGGCCTGAGATTAAATTCTGCTCACTGGCCACTTTGGCTAGTTGCATTTTCACAATGCTTAAATTTTAAACAAAATTTTCATATTAAGAACAGAATTGATTTTAAAACAACAATTATGCTTATGGGTTTCTCTAATAGTACCTTGGGGTCTTAGAATTGTTCTGATATAGATGACTATTCTAAAACTATTTATATATGTATTTTTTTCAGTATCAGTTTCTCTTAATCAGTTTGTTACAAACCTAGTGGGCTAGTCAATTTCAAAAGTTACTCAACAAGTGAGGTTTTAACTAGGGACAATTGTAGTAGTTGCAATGATTTAGTATAGATGGTATTTGTTATAAAATGTTCACTTCTGACTTAAGCTATGAAGGTTGTTTAGAATTAATGCTATGATATGATAAGTGTATCTAAAAATAATTAATACATTTTAATAGAATGTGTAGGTTAGGAGGATTATGCATAAAATGTAACTAATAAAGAAAAAATCCAACATAATTTTCCTAGGTGATGGTTTTCTTCACAAACCACACTTTTGTACATGAAACAACAGTGTGCTTGTCCCTTCAGTTGCATTATTTCCAGCTGTGTTTGACTGCTGACCGCCCCTCTGCTGTCTGTGGGGACAAATAAACACTTAGAGATGCAGGTCACATGGCATATGGTTATTACTGAAGTGCTGTTTAGCGTCTTTGTCCATGTGTAGATGAAGAGAAGAGTTGTGTAACTGTCAGCACTCATTTCGGTGACTCTACTAAATACAGGAAGTGCTTAAGGAATGAAAAACGCTGGCACCAAGCTTAACTACATTCTTGTTTATTTTCCAGCTCCTTGCCAGCCCTGCAGTGATGTGGACATGCTCCTCGCCATCTGCACAAACGACTTTGGTGAGTATCGGTTGCTATTTTCTGATCTCTGTTTCCTCATCAAACATACCTGGAGTTGTGTTTTGTTTTATTCACTCATGTTTAACACTGAAAACCTGCAAACCTTTGAGTTCTTCACTCAAACAGAAAACATGTGGTAATATAGCATGTGCTCCACTGTGTTTTTAAACTCCATACATTTTCACTAGAATAATCTTCAGCCCTGGAATTGCAAATCTCCGCTGTACAAAGGGTAAAAAGTAGCTTACCTTACCTTACCTTGAAAACTACAACTATTACAGGGTGAAACAGAGCATTTTGAGCTTTGGAGATGTACACAGGCAAGTAAGCAGGGTTATTCGAATGTGTGAATGAAACAAAACACACCTCTAGGTATGTGTTTGAGAAGGTAACAACATTCCAAAATGGCTTAAAGCTCAGAAGAGTCTATTTCATATTGTATAGGACCTTTAATAACTGTTTTTGTTTACAGTGGCACGGGGCACTATAAGAAAGGTGGAGGAAGAGCAGGAGCACTGGTCTGTCACTGTGGAGGTCAGCCGACTGTACAGACAGAAAACCCAGGTGTTTGTGTCCGGGGGCGTGAGGGTCCGCAGCTGGACGGGGCAAATCAAGATCCCTCTTCAGTGCGCAGTAAGGGCTGGAGAGGGGGACTTTCTTTTCACTGGGGCAGTTCGCTTTGGTGAGGCCTGGATGGGCTGCGCACCTCGCTACAAAGACTTCCTCCGAGTGTACAATGAAGCCGAGAAGCAAGGCACTAACCCATGTCACGTGGACACAAACTGAAAGATTGGGTTAGCTAAGCAAGAAGTGGAACAGGTCCTTGATGAGTGGACAAGTTGAACCAAATGTTCCCAGACACAGACAGCCGGGCCAAGTGTCCCTCCCGTTGTCTGAAGGCTCTTCGAAGACAAAAGACCAGCGCCTCCAGTGTTGCCAAGCAGCATCCGATTGGACTCAAAGAGGATGGGGATGCCGCGTGGAATGTGTCTGGACTGCTTTTTCAGCCAGTGACAAACCCACAGGTGTTAAATGTAGCAGAGCCCTTTGTGTTAATGTTTGTAAATGTGAATGATTGTTGTATATTTGAAGCTTTGTAAAAATGTGATGTACAGTTGTGAATTTGTGTAAAAAGTGAAAGCCTCTTATTTTTATTTTGTTAAAAAATTAATTGCGGTTTGATGCCTGAGTATTTTTTCAGGCTGTACACTTGCAAGAAAAAGACAAACCAAAAACGCTACAGTTTTGTTTTTGCCCTGTGAATAAAAGCTGTTATTCAATTCTAACTTGGGACTGTTACGTGTTAATCTTAAGCTTTATTGAAAGAGGACATGGTATGCGTTTCCCAGCACATTTTTCACTTTGACGCACAAAAGCAGGCCCGTACGATTACGATTATCACTGCGTTATAGGTTCACCTCGACCTAAAGCCTGGGAGATTGATATCGGGGAGTCGTGGTGGATTCCTCTGCACTGGTTCCTGTGGTGATGGGGGTGGCCCTGTGTCAAGGTCAATGTGAATGGCCCCTTTGTTCCAGTGCAGCAGCCTGGTATGAGAGCGCTAGGCCTGAATGCTGCTCTGTGACTGGCCACGCAGCAGAGAGCCTTCGACCACACTCCACATTTTGATTGGCAGGTACGCTTCTCCCTAGCTCTCTCTTCAAATAAAGACTTTAATTTCCAGCAGCTCAAATAAAGCAGGAGGAATGTAGCAGGTTTGAGTTTTTGGTCCGTGTGAGCCAGTGCTGTTAAGATGACACTCTGAGGCTCTTTTTGTTCTGCCTTTTCACTCATAAGGAAATGCACCTCCAAGAGTCAGTGAATAAGTTGCCCCAATAGACAATTACTTTTCCAGACGGCTCGAATGGTGAATAGATAGTTTGAATTTCAGATGAAAAGCCTCTGGTCCCAGAAATGCTCGTTGAGAAATGCAAACATGGTCTCTATGGTAACACTGCCTTACTGTGAACCTTTTCGCTCTGGCTTGAAGGGCTCTTCGTAAAGAGAAGGAGGAGGAGGAGTGAGAAAGTCAGGGTTGCTCCAGCTGTCCAGTTTGTCAGCTCTCACATTGAACCTGTGACCAAAACAGCTGAAGGTATCTGTCTCTTTTACTTAAGACCAACCTGTTAAATTTAACTACGCAGACAGGTGCTTTAAGCGTTGTCGAGTGGTCAAAGTTATCAAAAGGTCAGTTAATTTGTTTTTCCTTCTGGGGTGCACCACAACATATCTTCCATAACATAAGGTGCCACAGAATACACACTGTATACTAAAGGTGCATTGTGTAACTTTTCCAGTGGAGGGTCTGTCCAATGCTTTTCTTCATAGAATTGATATTTCTCTGTCTAGAATGTTTCACAGTATGATATTAAGCCTTTCTACCTTCAAGAGTACCAAACCAGACCAAGTTACAGGTCAGATCTGTGGAGAGGCGACCCCACTCACAGTCAGAATGCCTGTTTTTCTAGGTATTTTTGAGCTACACAACAACCTGTTATTGCATAAATGTAGAGCTGTTTAATGTCATACTGTGGAACATTCCAAGCAGAGCAATGGCATTAAAAAGTTACAGAGTGCACCTATTTCTTATGACCTTACAGATCATAATTCATATATTCATATTTACTCTGTTTACCATCATCTGGGTTTGATTTCACAGACACCAAACAAATTAACAGAATTTACACTTCAAGTTTGGCCCCAGACTCAAACATGCCTTTAACATGACTTGGATTACACTAGAACGGACAGTTTTACAACAGGATAAACAAGACTAGCAGACTAACAGAAATCAGCATATAGTACCAAAACCTGTTCCACAGTTTACAGAGCAGCAGATTTTTTTTCTTCAAGGTGCACAATGTAACTGTTCCACAGTATGGCATTAAATGTATCTAATTTTTGAATCAGACTCAGAACAGGTTTTGGACAAAAGGATGAAAATGTTTGAAGTACGCTATTTTTTATGTTGTTTTATGCTTTGAACCAATAAAAATGTTTGCAACTGAATAAATACAAGATAGATAAGTAAATACCATACTGTGAAACATTAAAAAAAAAAATATATATATATATATATGTGTATATATAATATATATATATATATATATATATATATATATATATATATATATATATATATATATATATATATATATATATATATATATATATATATATATATATATATATATATATATATATGTGTGTAAAATTTCCATGGAAACAAGAAGCAGATAGCGGACACACGTAAGTTCCATAGTGCTCTTTTAATTAAAAATGACACATGGCTCTAAAACAAACAGGTAATAGGCAAAGTTTGCTTAACGTTGCAGCACAACATGAATAACAATTATCCACAAATCTCTAAACAAAACAACTGGGCCATTGCATGAGTGATTTTGGGTGCAACTGCATTGATTAATCTGCTTGTTATTTGCACATGCTATCTGGTGTCATCGGATGGGCGAGGTCTGATCGCTGTAATGTTATTAAACGGGGCCAGTCCAAACCAGACATGACTACATGACTGTCCTGAAAAAGTCCCTGTGGTCATCGTCATCTTGTGAGTGGATTCAAACTCTCTGAATCAATGCTCTGTTACAAACTGCACAGTCACTTGGCTACTGGCTAAAACTAAAGAACTTGAGTGCAAAGAGCCTTGTGTGTAAAGTCTAGCATCTGATATTTTATTCATCTATGGTGGTATGCATGGAATGTGTTGACTTCATTCATATACACACGTGCGCTACTTCCCCCCTCGCTGCTGCCTTGATTAGCTCGAATCAATAGCTCCTCTGTGGATAGTGTGTGTGTGTGTATGTGTGTGTGCGTGTGTGCATGTGTGCGTGTGTGCGCTCTTAAATCCCAGCGCACATAAACACACCGCCCATGGCCTCCAGATAGTGCCACCCACGCCGTGCGGAGAGAGAGACAGAGAGAAAGAGAGAGAGAGAGAGAGGGGAGCTGGGCGGGTGCAGCTGCAGCGCGCACTTACTGACCACACTTCAGTAAAATGGCCCTCAGGATCAACACAGGAACCTCACAAGTCCACACACTGTTGGACCCAAGAGCAAGGGAGGGCTGGACTAGGCAAGCATTAGTGGATTCTACTGAAAAAATATGAGCAAGATTTGTGAGAATGCCTTATGTCTTAGAGTAGGGCAGAAATAATGGTTGATATCCAGTTTTGGTCAACCAGCAAATGTATTCATCATTTAAGTCTATGTACTATTACTATTACTATTCTACTACTTTTGCTGTAACTAAAGCAAAAATGTATACTCAGAAATACCTCAATCCTGAATTTGACATTTTAAAAATATAAATGGAAGGATAAACTCTTGTATTTTCAAAGGTTAGATCACAAAAATTGAGAAAAAAGTACATTATCTGAAAGAGTGATGGAAGAAGCATATTAAAATTAACACTGAGTAAACCAAACTTTTACTCAGTTAAGATGCAAGTATATCAGAGACGTACAATTTTATTTTAAATGTTGAGAAATTCTCTGTTTAAGCTTTAAAATGTTAAGGGCCCATATTACACTATGTTCTGATCTATGTTATAATGTTGTTTCCTCACCAAAAACATACCTGGATTTGTGTTTTCTTTCTTTAACACACAAATCCTGCATATTTTAGTTCTTCTCTCAAACAGAAAACACTGTGTTCCACCTCGTGATGTCATGCAGTAATACAGGAAGTGCTCCACTGTGTTTTAAATTCCATATGCCCTCACTAGAATAATTTGGATAGTTGTCAGTCTCTTCAGAAGAAGTTAAAAACTAGCTGTTAACTTGAAAACTAACACATTCCTGATGTCACAAGGTAGAATAGAGCATTTTGATCTTAGGAGATGCAGACAGACTAATAATAAAGGATTTCTCAAGCATGTGTGAATGAAACAAAACACAACTCCACAGCTCCAGGTATGATTCTAAAGAGGTAACAATGTTCTAACAAGACTTAAATCTCACAAGAGTCAATTTTGCATAATACAAATAAATAAAAAATTTGAAATTCCTTGAGTGATAGTGTCCAATTGCTCTTTTTTGTCAATTGCAACTGGGTAAATCCATTTGTGTGGAAATCCTACCACAACATTTACCAAGTATTTCTGTTCAGTGTGCATGGTTAAATGAAGACATAGCTGCTCTAAACATTACACTAAATAACTTTGACAGCAACATTTATAGGACTTTTCCCTCACCATTCAGGGATGAGCACATTCAAAAAGCCAGGGTCAACAAGCCAATAACGCTGCTCCCCTGAATGCTCATTACTCCCCAGTGGGTCATGAGGTTCCCAGTATTGAAATGCCTTCCAGCCCCCTCCCTTGGCCCCGCCTCCTTCTGTCCGTTCCTGTGCAAAGTGCTATGGCTGGATTAAGAGCAGTGGTGTTGGGTATCTCAAGCCAAAAGTCGTTGTGGGACTGAGGTCAATTCAAGGTCCTGCATGTCTAAATGTCAGATGTCAAAGTGAATAAAGAAAAGATGAATAAAAATATGCAATACTTACACTTTTAATAGCCCTAATGAAGCATGAAGAAAGACTTAATTCCTAATTAACTATTTATTAAGAACTTAGTGACTTAAAGATACTATATTATGCAAAATTGACTCTTGTGAGTTTTATGCCATGTAATAAAGTTACCTCCTCAAAAGCATATCCAGAGTTGTTGTTTTTTTTTGTTTCATTCACACATGTTTGAGTAATCCTTTATTATTAGTGTGTCTACATCTCCACAGATCAAAAAGTTCTGTTCCACCTTGTGATGTCATGAGGTGCTAGTTTTTAAGTTAACAGCTACACGTCTCAATCAATAAATATGCAGGGTTTGTGTGTTAAACATGTGTGAATGAAACAAAACACAAAGTATCCAGGTATGTTTTTGATGAGGAAACAACATTTTAACGGCCCTTTAATTTACCCATACTCCTTACCCTAATCCCTTAATTAATAGTAGGCCTGAATAATAAAAAAAACATTTCTTCATTTTGAATTAAGTCTATACAACCTGTACTAAGGCCAGGTATAGATGTAGTTATTATAAAGCATTATCATAGAAAAATAATTGTTGCATAATACACTTTCTTAAGACCTACTTTTATCCTCTGGCTGTGTGAGTTGTGTGGTCCTCTGTGTTGTATTTTATTTATTTTACTTATTTACTGCTATTTTATGATGTTTATGGTTTTGCTTTTACTGCTTTTATTGTTTTAGGACTGGACATGATCAAATTTTAACAGTTTACCTTTTTGTTGTCTTAATTTTATTGATCTCTG